GTGGCTGTGGATGGTGAAGAGGTGATTGTAACTGTCATAGTTGTCATGGATAAAGGTTTGTTTGTGTCACTGACAGTGTCCAGTGTGGATGAGGGTGGAGTTTGACTCAGTTGTGGGGTCTCAGCTGAAGTGGCCAAGCTGAATAAAACTGTGGTTTGGGGTGTTCCTATCAATTCCTTTACTGTAGAGGTCACCGTGGAATCTGACAGTGACATGTCATTAGTGATTGTCATGACAGGTGTGTGTACCGTTGGTGTCATCTCCTCAGTGGGCCCTGTTATACTTCTGCTCTGGGGTGCTGCTGGAAGAGTAGATGATGTCATCTGATCTTGGGACTTAGATGTGGATGTTTTGGTCATTGAGGGACTGCTGGGTTCTTCTTTGGAGTTTTGGCCTTTCATATTGTGAGGCAGACTTGAACTTGTAGATGGGCAGGACAGTTTCCCATTAAGCAGAGGACCACTTGTGGAGGATGAGTCTGAGGCTAGCACCCAGACTGAAGCTCTGCCTGTAAAAATGACAACAGCAATAAAAATAAAGTCACCCACCTACCGTTCCTTCCTCTTCTCCGATGCCCAGGCTCCTAGTCTCCTGCTGAGGAGATCTAATAACAATAACGGCAACAGCATAGGGAGTCTTCACATCAGGCTCACCCTCGCCGTGTGCCAGCTCTACCCCTGATGGCGTTCCGATGCTGGCTGGAGAGTCTACCGCTGCCGCCTTCCCAAGTGCCTTCTAAACCCTGGCTAGCCCTCTCACTCATCAAAGAAGCGTTTGATGCAGCACATGGACACCATTCCAGAAAGCCACAACTGGTCAAAATGCACATAAGTGACCTTGGAGTGCCCGCTCCCAGTTGGTGCATCTGTAACACACCCCCTTCGCCCAAGGTTCCGAGAGGTGGGTGGGAAGACCTTAAGTGCCGGACGACTAAGATGTCTGCTCTGAGATAGCGCCTTCCAAAAAGCAGAAAGAGCACACAGAGTGAATGAGCAGAGGCCTGGGAGGAGCTGGGGGAAGGGGAGGGGATGGATTAAATTCTCAAAGAATTAAGAAAACTATTACTTTTTTTTAACTGCTTCGTGCCAGAGAAGAGAGAGTTTGTAACTCTGCAGGGCACTGTCTCATTCAGTTAACATCTGCTCTAGGGTGGGTGAGAATCCAGTTAGCAAAAAATGGAAACCAATTATGCTTTATTTTTCCAGTGCTGGGGGTCAAGTTCAAGGCCTTGTGTACATTGGGTGAGTGCTTTTCTTTCTTTTTTTTTTGGTTGAGATAGAGTCTCACTAGGAATCCCTATCCTGTAACCTGAACTGGCCTGGGATCTGTGGCCACCCTCTTGCCTCTGCCTCCTAAACTCTGGGGTTATAAGTACTTGGCACCATGCCCAGCTTTATTGGTTGCTGTTCTCTCTTTTTTTTTTTTTTGAGATAGGGTTTCTCTGTGTAGCTTTGCGCCTTTCCTGGATCTCGCTCTGTAGCCCCAGGCTGACCTCGAACTCACAGAGATCCGCCTGGCTCTGCCTCCTGAGTGCTGGGATTAAAGGCGTGCGCAACCACACCACCGGGCAGGTTGTTCTTATAGCTTGAACTCACCTCCAACTTTCCCTACATAACCGAGGGTGACCTTGAACTTTTTGTTCCGCCAGCCTCCACCCTCCCAGTTCTGAGATTATCAGTGGGTGCCAATCACACATCTTGCTTTATTTTCTTATTTTAATTATTTTTTTTTTAAAAAACTTACTCAGTGTGTGTATGTGTGTGGGTGCCCCTGCACATGCGTGCCGTAGTGAGCATGTGGATGTCAGAAGGACACCTTGCAGGAGCTGGTCCCCTCCCCCTAACGTATGTACATGGGCTCTTGGGTTTGAACTCAGGTTATCAGGCTAGGCAGCAATGATTTATCCACTGAACCATCTCCCCAGCCAACTCCTACTTTGTATTTAGTTATTTATTTATGTATCATTTGAGACAGGGTCTCTCTATGTAGCCCTGGCTGGCTTTAAACTCTCTATGTAGACCAGACTGAGCCTCAAACTCATAGAAATCCACCCACCCCTGCCTCCTGAGTGCTGGGATGGAAGTTGTGTGTCACCACACCTGACTTTTGTGTGTGTGTATTGGTGTTTTCCTATATGTATCTGCACAATGTGTGTGCCATGCCCTCGGAAATGAGAAAGGGGCATTGGAAGCCCTGGAACTGGAGATACAGACAGTTGTGAGCCACCATGTGGGTGCTGGGAACCAAATCCGGGTCTTCTCCAAGAGCAGCAGTGATCTATGGCTGAGCTGTCTCTCCAGCCCTATTTTGTGCTATTTTGTGCTGGATTTATTTCCTTACTTAATGTATAAGTGTGTTTTGGCTGCCTATGTGTTTGTGCAACACATGTGTGCCTGGCTGGTGCCCTTGGAGGTCAAAAGGGGGTGTCAGCTCCCCTGAGACTAGAGATACAGGCAGCCGTGGGTGCTGGGAACTGAACCCAGGTCCTCTGGAAGAGCAGCCCCCATGCTTATAACCACTGAGCCATCTCTCCAGCCTCATTCTCCAGCCCTGCTGTGGTTTTTGTTGTTGTTGTTGTTATTTGTTTTTGGATTTTTGTTTGTTTGTTTCATGTGTATAGATGTTTTGCTTGCATGCACCGTGTACATGTCTGGTGCCCATGGAGACCAGGAAAGGATGTTGGATCACCTGAACTGAAGTTACGGATGTTTGTGAACCACCAAGTGGATGCTGAGAATCAAACTCAGGTCCTTTACAAGAGCAGCCAGTGCTCTAAACTGCTAAGCCATCTCTTTAGCCTCGTATTTTGTATTCAGGGCTAGCCTTGAACTCACTGTGAGCCCAGGGTGGCCTTAAATTCCCAATTGTCTCACTCAACTCCTTCTTTTGCTCTTATGTATTTTAGGCTGGCCAGACCTTGAACTCCTGATCATCCTGCATCTACCTCCTGGGTGCCCCCCAAGACTGGCTTTTGTTGTTTGATTTCCTGGTGCCTTGTTTGAACTTAGTTAAGCTAGTATGTTGTGTAATATTTGTTTGTGTTCTGACAACTAAAGCCTACCTTGAGATCAGAGGGTGGAGCTAGCTACTAGTTAATCATAGACACCAGGCATGATGGCACATATCTTTAATCCCAGCACTTGGGAGGCTCGCGCCTTTGATCCCAGCACAATCAGGAGGTGGAGACAGGATCTCGGGTCAATTTGGTCTGAGGATTCATAGAGGTAAGAAGTCTCTAGTGGCTGCTGCTCTGCTTCTCTGATCTTTCAGGTTATTACCCCAATATCTCACTCCTGGTTTTAACTGATAAGACTAATTAGGATCACACTTCACTAGTGGCTCAGTGGTTAAGAGCACTGGTTACTTTTACAAAACATCTAAATTCAGTTCCAAGCACCTGCATGGTGGTTCACAACCATCTATAACTCTAGTCCCAGGAGAGCTGACACCCTCTTCTGAATTCTAAGGGCACTAGGCACACATGTGTACATACATACATACCTTCAGGCAAACACTCATACACATTAAATAAATAAATAAATCTAAAACTAAAGTAACATGGGGGTTGGGGAGACAGTTTAGCCATGAAGAGCACTTTCTCTTCTTGCAGAAGACTTGGATTTTGGTTTTCAGCACTCGTGTGGTGGCTCACAACTGTCTGGAGCTCCAGTTCCAGAAGATCTGATGTCCTCTCCTGGCCTCCAAGGGTGCCAGGCACTCATGTGGTGCACAGACATTCATTCATGCAAAATACCCACCCCCACACAATTCAAAACAAAAATGAGATCTAAACTAAATAAAGGTACAACAGTGTTGTGCACCATAATAAAATGAAAGCAGCCTGGGGACACAGGTCAATCAATGGTAGAAAGTTTTTTGTTTGTTTGTTTGTTTTTTGCAACCTTGAGGCCTTGGCTTCAATCCTTAGGACCATACACCAGTGGTTCTCAACCTTCCTAAGACTGTGAGCCTCTAACATAAAATTATTTTCATTGCTACTTCATACCTGTAATTTTGTTATTGTTATGAATCATAATGTAAATATCAATGTTTTCTGATGGTCTTAGGTGGCCCCTGTGAAGGGTTGTTTGTCCCTCTAAGGGGTCACGACCCATGAGTTGAGAATGCTAACATACACAAAAATCTGGATGTGGTAGCAGATGCCAGTGATCTGGTGGTGCCTGGGAAGCAGAAGAGAAGTACCTTGCAGCAAGTTAGAGTCAGCCAGGGCTACATAGCAAGACCCTGTGTCAAAAAAACAAAGAACAACCAAACCCCCAACAACCTACGCTGAGAACATGGTATAAGCCTTCAATCCCAGCATGGGGAGGTAGAGGCAAGCAGATCTCTGTAAGTTCAAGGCCAGCCTGATCTACATAGGGACCCTGTCTCAAACAAACAAAGAAAAACCTCCAACAATTTTACTTCTTAATTTTTTTTTTCAAAGCAGCATTGGTAAGATGGTTTATCAGGTAAAGGTGCTTATCACATAGAGCCGGCTACCTGAGTTTGATTCCTGGATCCCAGTCGAAGAGTCACTCCTGAAGTTTGTTATCTGACTTCCATCACCGTGGTGCACTCCCACCCTAACACACACACACACACACACACTCACACACACACACACACACAGTGGGGAATGAATGATAACGATAGTAATAACAATATTTTTTAAAAAGCATATCACCTGATAAACTTCCATCACTGAGCCATGGTGCTCTCTCTCTCTCTCTCTCTCTCTCTCTCTCTCTCTCTCTCTCTCTCTCTCTCTC